TAGTCAATAAATTAGAAAATAATTTATTAAATGAAAATAACTGATTTCTTAGAAAAATGTAAATGACAGATTGATATTAGGAAAAGTTGACTGTATTAATATATCAGTAACCATAAAAGAATTTTTTTTTGTAGAGCTGATGTCTCACTATGTTGCCAAAGCTGGTCTCAAACTCCTGGGTTCAAGCAAGTCTCCTGTCTTGGACTCCCAAAGTGCTGGGATTATAGCAGAATGATCTTTAAAATAGGCCAGATCATGTCATTTCTGTATTCAAAACTCTACAGTGGCTTTCCATACAGTCAAGGAAAAAGTGAGGTGGCCACAGGGATCTAGGTGATCTGGCCCTACATCTCCTAACCCTTTTCCCATTTCAGCTTGACTCATGCTGCTCCAGCCACACTGGGCCTTGCTGTTCCTGACGTGTTGAGCCTATTTCTTCCTGAAATGTTCTTCCACAGTTACCTTATCCCAGAGGCTTCCTTTAATATGCTACATAAAACAGCATTCTCTATTTCTCTTACTTTTTGTGATGTTATGTATTGCCTAATGTATTTACAAGCAGACAGCCAAAAACAAAACAAAACCCGGAATTATCTTGTGGAGGGTTGGGCCCCTTGTAGTACACTTGGAACTTGTTCCTCCTGATAAACAGTCAACCAAAGTTTTAATCTGGATGCTTTCAGAGGTTGCATCACAACACAGAAGAAATGTTCAGAGTTATGGCAAACAGGTGACTGGTCCTTCCACCATGACAATGCACATGCCCACACTATGCTGAGTGTTGTTTTTGACCAAAAACAATATACTTGCCATACCCTACCCTCCCAGTCTCACCCTGAGTGACTTTTCCCGCCGCCCACACCTGGATGAATAGAGTCCTTAAGAGGAAACGTTTTGCTAATGTAGAAGAGGTTAAACAAAAAACAGCAGAAGCTGCAAAAGGCATAAAAATTGATGAGTTCAAAAACTGTTTTGAGCAGTGGAAAAAGCAACTTGATAGTTGTAATGCATCAAACAGAAAGTACTCTGAAGGTGACTAAAGTTTAAACACAGAAGAATAAATACACAATTTTTTAATAAATCTTTTGTTGAATTCTCCCTTTGTATATATTACTTTGTTTATTGTTTGTATATTCAGATCAGGATGAAGGACTATGAAGGCAGTAATTTTTGTCTTTTGTTTGGCCCGCTCCCTCCAACTGCCTGTATTGTTAGTGACTAGAACAGTGATAACAGTTCCTGAGCATTGGGTATCCAGTCACCACTTTTGGAATGAATGAATGAATTTAAAAACAAAGATTTTCTAACTAACTAGAAGCAATAATTAAAAGACATGAAAAATAAGATCTCATCCCATCCGTAATAGTAATAGAGAACTAAATCACTTAGGAATTAAAATAACAAGGCAATAGGTAATGATCAAAGATGTGCTAGTTTGAATTCCTGCTTCACCTGGTATGGCTATGTGACTTGAACCAAGTTACTTCACTTCACTATACCTTAGTTATTTAATCTGTAAAGTATAATAATTATTGAACCTATTTGATAAGGTTGCTATGAGGATTTATTGAGTTAATATTTAGAAAACATTGGGAATAATATCTGGCACATAGTATCCACTATATGTGTATTAAACAAAATAATTTAAAAAATATTTTCAAAAGCTTTATAAAGAATAAAAAGACTAGATCAATTAATATTTAATATGCACTGTCTATGGATTGGGTATTATATTGAATGTCTACATGCCTTTCTTCTGTAATCTTCTCACAATACAGTGAGGCAATAATTGTGATTATCCTCGGGTTTTACCTATGAGGAAACTCAAGTCTAGCAAAGTGAAGTAACTTGCCTAAGACTATTAACCAAGTTGTAGAGATGGAAATTAATTCCATTGAAAAGATATAGAATTGCAAAGATTTCATTTCCTCTTAATTTTAAGATAAATTTAATGCAGTTACAGTAAAAAAGATTTTTTTAATTTGACAATTTGACTGTACAGCTTTTCTTTTTTTTAAAGAGATGGAATCTTGCTATGTTACCCAGGCTAGACTGGAGCTCGTGGGCTCAAGGAATCCTCCTGCCTCAGCTTCCCAATAGTTGGGACAACAGGCACGTGCCACTGTGTCTGGTCTGACTATATGATTTGTTATAAAGAAGAATAAATCCATGAAAAAAGTAACTTAGAGTATATACAGTAAATTCCAACATAGCAAATGAGTTCTGTTCTGGAAGTGCATTCATAAGTTCAGATGGTTGTTAAGTCCAACAAAGTTAACCTAGGTACCCAACTAACATAATTGACTATATAGTACTGTACTGTAATACGTCTATAATACTTTTCACACAATACATAAAGAACAAACACACACGACATTTTTAATCTTACAGTACAGTACCTTGAAAAGTGCAGTACGACAACTGGCATCCAGGGGCTGGCTTCGAGTGAGTAGGCAAGACGAGTTACTGACTTAAGGAGGGAAAGGAATGGGAAGTGACAGAGCTGAAGGGTCATCAGCAACAGGAGACAGAGGACAATCTGCAATTTCACTCACGCCTGATGGCACAGGTTCTGGTTCTTTGATGGATTCAGTTCTGTCTACCCTTTTGAAAAAAACAAACAAACGATTCAGTGATTTCTGGGTAGTAGCTCTTTTTTCTTGTCATAGATGACACAGTAGCACTGAATTGCATTCAGAATGGCTACTGCAAATTTTGTGTTTGGTTCTCTGTCTGGGTCCAGTGCCTTCTCAAATAATGAGAATGCACACTGGCATCTTTGAAAGTTTGCAACTTGAAGATTTGTATGTAGGAGACTTATCTATTATCATCTATCTATCTATGTGAGAAGAGACATACTTTTAGCTATTGAGGTATACTATAAATCTATAGAAATTAAACAATATGATATTGGGCTTTGGAGTAAGATCAATGTAACGAAACAGTTGAAATATAGATTAGAATTATATACAGGAAAATAATGTATGAAAAAGGAGGCATTTCATTGGTAATTAGATGGATTATTTATTTATTGTTATTTTTATTTTGAGTTGGTGTCTCATTCTGTCGCCCAGGCTTGAGTGGCATGCTCATGGCCACTGCAGCCTTCAACATGCTAGGCTCAGGTGATCCTCCTACCTCTGCCTTTTAAGTAGTTGGAAACACAGTCATGCACCACCATGCTCAGCTAATATTTTAATTTATTGTAGAGACAAGGTCTCTGCAAGTTGCCCAGGTTGATCGAACCTCTGGGCTCAGGCTCTCTTGTCTCTACCTCCCAAAATGCTGGAATTACAGGCATGAGCTACTGCACTTGGCTCAGATGGATTATTTAAATATGGTGTTGAGTTATTAGTTTATTTATTTGGGAAATTCCTCATATCATGTACCCAAAATAAGTTACAGATTAAAGATCTGAATTTTAAAATATTTAAAGAAGTAGAGGGAAATTCTGGAGAACACTGTTATTAGTCAGTCAAGAAGACCTATCTTTTTATGGTACCACAACTGGAAACAATAAATTTATAGAAAGACATATTTGCTTTGGTAAACATTTATGGCAAGACAGAGGACACTATAACTCAGTTAAAAAATGAGCTAAGATGAATATTTGCAACATTAGGAAGGGTTCATATTTATTAATTTAATATAAAATGACTCCTTCAGATCAATAAGGATAATGAAAAGCTCAATAGAAAAAATGGGCAAAGAATATAAACAACTTATAGGAGAAATACAACTAGTCATGAAACATAAAAAGTGATGACTTCATGATGATCAAAGAAAGGTAAATTTAAAAAATGAGATTGAAGAATAGTGTAGTGGTTTATGTCATTGGCCCTGGAGTCAGACACCCTGATTTCAAATCCTACCTTTGATGCTAACTAGCTATGTGATCTGTTCATCAGTTCCTCATTTGAAAACTCTGGATATAAAAGCCCCTGCCTTACATGGTTGTTATGAAGAGTAAATAAGGTAATGGATATAAAGTATTCTGAATAATTTATAGCACACAGTAAGTCCCAATAAATGTTTTACTTATGCTTTCTTTCTCATGCTACCTTAGATTTCCAAGTATTTGGAAAAGTCTGAGTGTCTCGTATTTTGGGGGTATTATTACAATAAGTACTTGAAGTAGTTTCCTATTTCTACTGTAACAAATTACCACAAATTTAGTGGCTTAAAACAACACAAATATATTATCTTAATGATCCTGAACTTCAGTGGGTCTCACTGAGCTACAATCAGTATGTTGACAGAGCTAACATTCTTTCCCAAAGGCTCTAGGAAAAAATCTATTTTTTTGCCTTTTCCAGCATTCCTTGGTTCTTGTCACTCTTCCATCTTTAGAGCCAGCAATGGGCACTTGAATCTTTCTTGCTATGCCATCTTTCTGCTTTTGACCTTTCTGTCTCCCTCTTTTCCATTAAAGGACACTTGTGATTGGTGTTGGACCCACCTGGATGATACAGTATAAGGTCATCTAATTAGCAACTTAAATCCGTCAGCAACCTTATTTCTCCCTTGCCATGTAATATAATATGTGCCTAGATTCCAGGGATTAATATGTGTACATCTTTGGGGTACCAATATTTTGCCTACCACAGTACATTGAATTGTTGTTACAAAAGATGAGAATATGAGGATTGAAAAACAGTTGCCGGTGGACTTCTGGCAAGATGGTGATGGGGCAACCTGGTCTGTGAAACCCTCTGCAAAGGAGAACTGCAGTGGGTCTCTGGCTCTCGCCCCGGGAGCTCCGGACCCCAAAATCGCATCCTGCTCTTCATACAGAGCTCGGCTGTTGCCACCGCTGGGGCATTGCAGTGGACTGGATAGCCACTGCAGTGCAGATGCTGCTGCCACAGCCACTGCAGCCGCCGCAGCTGCTGCCAGTAGCACATCGCACTACCCGGGCCAGAGGCGATCCACGACTTCAGTCCTTGAAGCCCCTTCAGGGAAGATCTGCTGGGATCGCTGCCACCTCTCCTGCGACCAAGATGTGCTGCCACTGGGAGTCTCCTGCCTGTGCCCTGAGGCAGGCATTCATCTCCAGTTTCGCCGGTTCCTGTGCGGCCCCTCCCGGCCCCCCCCCCCCCCGGGGGCGAGCAGCTGAGATAGCACCACCTGCTGGCGATTCAAGGTAACAACACCGAAACGGGAGAAACAAGCTTGAAAGGGACATAGGCCAGAGTGGTGAATGGAGGGTGATCTGAACTGTCCTTCACAGCAGACCAGGGGCAACTGACCCTAACTGCAAACTAATTTACCAGCTTGAAAAGAAAACTAGAAATCAGACCTGAAAGGACATTGGACTTAAACAAAATGTCTCAGAGTGTGCTTCATTGATTCTGTTAGTTTAATGACATAATTCTATTCCTACTGTTTGTTCATTCCCCCCCTTCCTTTTCTTCTCTCCGTAAACCATATCTTTGTATAGAGGAACAGCACACCAATAAGGTGGTTGGTTAGCTTGTATGTTAGCATCACTATATGTTTTATTTTTTTTGTATGGGAGTTGGTTCGTCAGTAGCTGTGGTCTATTGCTTTTATCTGTTTCAGTATAGGTCTCTCTCTCCATTTGTTGGCACATTTGTGTCCCCCCTTACTCCTCTATCTCCCCACCCCCATCTTCAACCCACTGTGTGCTCCATTGTCTTCCCTCTGCTAACCACATTTTATTTCAGGGAGTAAACCTACAGCTCCACTGCACGGACAGATTCCAAGACAGTGGGAAGTGGGTTCCAGATTATCCACACACCTGTCAGCAAATACCAGGACCTGCAGGTAGATTTTGAATCACAGCTCCCCCCTTAAGTAAATCTCAAAACTGCAAAAAGAACCAACCCCAACCTACAGTACAACTCCAGAATTGAACTAAGTAAGAGGGCATACATAAAGAATAGGAGATTGAACAAATAGAAATAAAACCAATCACTTTACCCCTGAATAACAGAATTAAAGAAGACAGTGATGTGGAGGGAAGAATAAAGTAGGGAGGGGGAAAAACCACACAAATGAAGAAAAACCAAAAGAAGAATATAGGTCTCACACAGACCCCTGGGAGATCAGACACTGAGAAAACAGATTCTGGAACACAAACAATGAAGAGCCCCCAGAATGACTGGTCACATGCAACAAACCCAGACATCAAGACATTAATGGAGAGAATTTAAAAAATTTAGGAGAGACAAGAGGAAAATAGGAAGGAGCTGATGTCAGAAATAACAGCAGTAAAGAATACTGTGATGGAAATGAATAACAGACTAATAAGCATGGAAAGCAGAATCAGCCAAGCAGAAGAAAGAATCTCAGAGCTCGAAGACCAAAACACAGACCTAACCCAAACTGTCAAAAGCATAGAAAAGAAACTCAAAAAGACAGAACAAAACCTGCAAGAGATGAACGATCACTTCAAGAGACCAAACCTAAGAGTAATTGGGCTTCCTGAGGCAGAGAGAGAAACAGAAGCCATACTGGAAGAAACATTTCATGAAATCATTCAAGAAAACGTCCCTCATCTCATCAAGGATGAAAAAATTCAAACGCAAGAGATTCAGAGAACCCCTGCAAGACAACAAATGAGAAGACCAACTCCCAGACACATAATAATTCTCTTAAACAAAGTAGCTATAAAAGGAAAAATCCTAAAGGCAGCAAGAGAAAAAGGCCAGACTACCTACCAGGGAAAACCAATTAGAATAGCAGCAGATTTATCCACAGAAACCCTTCAGGCCAGGAGAGCCTGGAGCCCTATCTTCAAAGTTCTAAAAGAGAAACAATTTCAACCAAGAATAAACTACTCAGCCAAACAAAGCTTCATTAGTGAGGGAGAATTGAAATCTTTTCCAGATATCCAATCCCTAAGAACCTACGCTGCCACCAGATCACCTCCACAAGAAACACTTAAGAAAGTACTGAGCACGGAAGAAAAAGAAAAAAGAACAACAGCATTCTTCACAAGAGTACAGGCAAAGGATTAAAAACACACATGAGCCAACTCCAGAACCCAAAGAAAGACAACAAACAAACAGGAACAACTCTGTAAGAACTTTATTACAGGGATCAACTCTTGCATTTCAATTATTAGCCTAAATGTGAATGGACTAAATGCACCACTCAAAAGACATAGAATGGCAAAATGGATAAAATATCATCAGGCAACAATCTGTTGCCTTCAAGAGACTCACCTCACTAGAAAGGACACCCATAGACTCAAAGTAAGAGGATGGGAAACAAACATTCAGGCAAATGGAATACAAAGAAAGGAGGAGTAGTGATCTTAATTTCAGACAAAATACCCTTCAAGCTACTAAAAATCAAAAAAGATACAGAAGGCCACTAAATAATGATAAAAGGCTCAATCCATCAACAAGAAATATCTATCCTAAACATATATACACCCAACATAGGTGTGCCAACTTTCATAAAGCAACATCGAGGAAAACTAAAGAAAGATATTGACTCTAACACCATCATAACTGGGGACTTTAATACACCACTCACAACCCTAGACAGATCATCAGGACAGAAAATCAGCAAGGAGATCGGAACCTCAATGTGACTTTGGACCAAATGGACTTAATTGATACCTACAGAACACTCCATCCAAAGACCACAGAATACACATG